ATTTACTTGCAGTTGGTATGTGTATTGAAAATGAAATGTTTTTTTGTGTCGGACAGCCCACATGGAGGGGAAATGTCGTAGGAAGAGAAAGAAGAAGTTTTATCTGCGTTAATAACGCCAGAATAATTATTTCTGCCATTTTAAATGGTAAAAATAAATCAGGGCTTGGACGTCACTTAACGATAGTGTTAAGCGGCCCATCCACGTGCGAATCCGGCTCGGCTCGGGTTCCATCGAACCAAACTCGTTTTTTGGGTGGGGTGTCAGAAGCCGAGTCTGCTATACACGCGTCACGAAATATATCCGAGCCAGGCTCGCGAGTCAGACTCGTACGCGGATGTGCCGCTTTAAAGTGTCAGTGTTTTGTCTTATAGACGTGGCCACCCTTTTTACAGCGTGATGGCCGTACATGGCGTTATTTTACTTTTTAATGGTGCTTAACGTACACACTTACCAATACTTATAGCATATTCCATCATGAAATATTTCAGTAAGTTTGTTCGAGGGGAAGGAATTGCTTTTGTTCTTACATTGTTTTTCTCAGTCATCAAATATATGCTGTATTACTGAAATAAGGTTGTGTGGTGTTATACGATGCACGTCTGCAATAAATTATTGTATCATGCCAGATAAATTTTTTCTTGTGTAAGGGATTTTACTGGTGAAGCTTTTTTTTAAAGCTTTGATTTGTCTTGTTCGTTTTATATTTCTTGTAAACTGTAATTAACACGTGTAGCTTTCGTTTCCTATTTAAAAATATTTATAATATATGCATATAGTGTCTTGTGCATGGAATTTATCATATAAAAGTGTACTTTGTTGAGTTATTGAGCGTAACGTGTTTATACCATGAATAATTTTAGCGTAAAATATTTGTTCAAGTTAAAAAAGAAAAAAACACGTATTGAAATAATAGACGGTCTTTTCAATAAAACTACTGTTTATGGCAGTGATAATGATTAAATGTTGTATATATGTATCTCAATCGTTGCGCTAAAAGTGCTCGCTCCCGGCATCCACGCACAACTGTTTGCAGACCTTTCAGTAGGCCTCGATATAAAAAAATATGGTGGGATTAAATCTGATGGTCTTGTCGTCGGAGTTCTGTTTGAGATAACCTGTCGCCAAGAAATTAGAGCGTCGCATCCAGTTCTGTATGACACGAGGGTCAACCACTTTGTTTCTTATGTGATGGGATTCAATTTCACAATTTTAACTGCGTCAGTGCATAAATATTGGTTTTATTGCTGAAAGTCTGGGACCGTCCGTGAGAAAAATATATATGTATATTAGAACATAATATTGAACTATAGTCTATAAGAATATATATATATATATATATAAACCAACTGTTACTAAAACAATAACTCTGAAAAAAACAGTGAAATACAACGTAACTCACGCCGACAAAATTTTAAACGAAGAAAGGCAAATCGCGCATGTTTAATGTACGAGGTGCCCAAATTTTTTATATAAAATTCCAAGATTCATGTGTATTATGAAATTAAACTTCCTTTATTCTGAGACCAGCAAAATTTCAGATCAGAGATGAAACCCCCTAACTTGAGACCAAGAGTACGATAAAATGCTGCTTTGTCAGGGTTATCACACACCCTGTGTGGGCCGGTGGTAGACGAGCGTGGAGCAATGGCGGAACGATGATTATCGAAGGAAAACCGAAGAGCTCGTAAAAGGACGTGCTCCAGTGTCACTTCATACACCACGAACCTCACGTCGTCATCCAGTACCGAACCCGGATCTGTACGAGATGACTCCGGGATTTCTGTCGAGGCAGCGGACGTGAAGAACTTTTGAAAGGTGTTATGACTGTCAGTTGCTGCCTGCTGGGCCTGTGGTAGCTTCAGTTGGAGCTCCAGTAGGCGTCATTTTCAGCGTTTCTGTTGGACATCACATCAAGAAACGAGTCTCTGTTTGATATTACCTCCGCGTTCAGCACGGACTCTGAGGCATATTATTCACAAGTTTTGGAAGAAATTTCTAACTTCGCATCTTCTTATCCGTGGACTTTACATTTAATGTTTATCAGAAGAAACATTGGCGATGGACAGGAATAGTAATTTGATAAGGAAAGGAATTATCGTGGCCCATTTTAAGGTACTTTTTTGTTGATAGTGTAAGTGGTGCAGTACACTGTCAGATATCTTATGAACATAAAGTATGAGTTTTAACCATTATACTGTAGTTCGTAAAATAAATATTTATACAGTTTGACATTTTTTCGCTGTCAAGTGACCACGGTCAATGCAGGTTGACTAAGCGTCATAATTGAGTGGTTGGCTCTCCTGCTTCGGGAGTTCCTAGGTTCAAACCTTGGCCTGGAGACCAATTATCTTGACTGAGGTCTCATGGTTTTATCAGTCGCTCTAGGAAAATGCCGGGTAATACCTTCAATTAAGCCATGACTGCTTCCTTCCACATCCTTTACAATTCATTACTCAGTCATCCTCTAATCTAATGCTTTGTAATCTAGATACTGAAAGCATCGTTAAGTAAACAATAAATAAATAAACATCTGTTGGTGGTCAGCATTCAGGTTTAGTGTTCAGGAAGTTCTGTTTTTTCCATATTGAATTCTGCCACTAATATTGAAAATGAAAACAGTAAAAATAAAAGACTCTCGGGCTACAAGCCGCGTCGGGTGGCTGAATGGTGAATACACCATATCTTGTGCCAACGTTTCGAGAGCCATCTCTGCTCTCATCCTCGGGGCAGCTGCGTAACAAACTGGTCCTCTGTAGCGCGATCGCCGAGCCACCTGACGCAGCTTGTAACCCAAGAGTCTTTCATCAACTTCAGTTGAATGTTTTATTATTAATCTATTTTCTTGTCTTTTGCATTTCTATACCAAGATTGTTATTTACGCTGATTTTTTTTTTCTTAAAGGAACTCGGAGATAAGCCATTTTTAATGTATTTACTGTCAAGGGACAGTTTTTCTTTCAAATTTGTAATCAGGATACAGGTCGTCGTTTTATCTGTTGCCTTATCTATCCTTTATGTAAAATAATCAGTGCATACAAACATTTAATGTTTTTACGTCTCTGCAAGCTGGCAAACTATTGACTTAAACATAACATTTCTTAATCGGGGAGGGTGGGGTAACATTTGCACCATCATTCTATATATTTTATTTTAGTTAGAATTCAGAAGTTTTATGTTGAAACTGAAGTGGCCATTTGTGCATAATACTTGTTATAATGATTGAGCGATTGCACGAGTTTTATAGCGTGCTTTAAGAACGAGCTAATTTCTGTGGGCTTCAGAGGTGAACGCTCGTCTTAACTAGTTGTGTGCCGCCAGACTACCAAAATTGGAGGAATTTAAAAGAAATGGCACATTATCATTTGAATACCTTACCATTCTGGCGTAATTTTGGGTTGGATTTGTTTTTGCATTTCTTTAAAAGCTGGTGTAGAAGTGAACCAGAATTTTATTTTTAATTATATATTGGAGCCTTGAAACCTGAATCAGAATTTTTTCAAATTATTGACCGACTACACAAAGATTCTAAAAAGACCGAACCGTCCATAGGTGTCAATTTGCAACTCAAATTAATTTTTCGTGTGACTGAGGGATAATAACATGGTGTAGGAGAGTGAGAATAAATTCAAGAATTTACAAAATTCGATACGGTTTTCATTTAACGAGCGCAAAAATATTAAAACTAAGACAGTTGGCTTTTGTTGGGGAAACATTAGATACATGTAAGATGAATCTGGTAACCTTGTAGTAGATAATAGTTTTGGTGAAATGGAAGTCAACATTTTGTGTAGAAAGGTTAAAAAATAAATGTGAAGAAACTTTATTAACCAATTAAGAAACTACTTAGAACGTACTTCATTTAATGAATAAGAAATATATCAAATCAGTAATAAAGAATCTGTTGAAATGGTCAGCTCGTGGATCCATAATTAATTTCAGAGATTATATATTTTATATTTAAAATAACTCTGTAGAACTATTTTTTTATACCATTTATCATCAAGAGCATATTATAGTGAAACCTGCATATTCCAGAAGAGATTCTGGGTTAAAATTACAATTAAATTAAAATTGGTCCGTAGGAAAGTTCTTTAAAAGACAGAGTCAGCCATTGCTAATTCCTTCTGTTTTTTCTCAGATCATCATTCATAGTAATCCTGCAGTTTGACTGCGTATAACCTACGTACCTGATAAAACATCATTAAATGAACCAAAAAAATGCACATACTGTAAGGCAGGGAGAGCTAACTTTTCAGGGTGTGCGCCCTGCTTTTACGTTAAACCAGGAAAAGTGCGTCTGAATCCCATTTTATCTTGAAAAGGTGTAACTATCGACAAGTCCATTAAATTTAATTCTGAATGCAAGGTCTAGCACATGGGTCATATTTTCCCCCATCTTTAATGAAAGAGGAACAAAATTGGTACATGTGAGATTTCAGGTTCTCACGGAAACAAGTATGAAGATGACTGTCTTCTGTGATGTTGGTCAATATCTATCAGACTATGGCTCTCCGGTTCGTATTCGGTCCATGGCCTCCTCAATTCTCCTCTTCCATTCGGTCCTCTGTTAGGTCCATTCTATCTGAGGCTTTGATCGAGGTTTCAAAACATCTTTCTTTTTACGGTGCAAGGTTGTTAGCCGGTTATCTCTATAAAACGGATGATAAATTGTACCCGAAAGAGGAGATTTGGCAATTCTAATTGAGGTTCCTCGTTCTGTGCTTAATACTACAAGTTTTCCGAGTCTGGAAATTAAAAATTACATTTATGGTCCTATGAATACTAAATAATTACTTTCAGCTCAAATTAAATTTGAAAATTTTAAAAAAAATTATAATACTTCTTACTTTTAGAAAGCTCTTACCTGATGTGATTATGTCCTAAGATGGTATTTATTGAAAAAAATGAATCAAGATATGCCGTTTTCAGGGTGGTTTCACCATGTAACGCATACCAACAACAGCCGGCGTAGCTCAGTCAGTATAGTGACTGGACGACCGTGTTTCGATCCCTGACGGGGGCAGAGGATTTTTCCTCTGCATCCGGACTGGTTCTGGGGGTCACCCAGCCTCCTATACAATGGGTACCGGGGTCTTTTTCCGAGGGTAAAGCGCGGCCGGGGCATGACGCTAACCACTCACCCCCATCTAGTGCCGAGGTCAAGAATGAGTAGGAGCTATACCTCCTCTCCCCCCAAGCGCCTGCATGGCGTATAGTAGGACAGCTCTATTTTTTACTTTGCTAACGCATACCAACACTGCTGAGAAATATGCTGTCTCACTTGAAGGTGGAGGCATCATGTTCCTGAAAAACACTAGTATATACCCACATAACTAAACGGCACAATAACGCTGACGACCGCAGACTCAGCACGTAAAAAATTTTACATTGAAATGAAGTCGTAATCTTTCCAGTGATTCATTCAGTTACAAATTTGTACTAAAGTAATAATATAAATTACATTGAATAATAATTATCATAGGAAGAATTACACTTACCGTCTGAAGAATGCAAAATGCTGTCATCGAAGTCAGCAATATGTGATCAATAATGTAAATATTGACATATTGATGGCTCATGAGGGTACACGATAGTAGATGTGCAGAAGCATCTGAAACTTGGCAACTCGTCGTTCGCGTCCATCACCTCAGCACATGTACAAAATGAAAATTTCAAATTCTTACTTAGTTTATTGATTATTGGATTTGATATTTCAGATGATATTTTTATCAGCGTTGTACACGTGTATACATATTGAATTAGAATATGTATTTATTTATTTCTGCGTGGCATATATTTACCGACGTGTTTAAGGAAGGAATTTCAGGAAGGAGTTCGTGTAGTCTGTACTTTAATTTTTTTAAATAAATTTCATACAGTAAAAATTTGAAATACAGTTATTAAATATATATTTGTATAACATTTACAAACTTCTCTCTTTTGATATTGCACTTTTATTGAAATTTGTAAATTTCTTCGTTCGCAAATGCAACGATTATTTAACCCTTATCAGAAAATGTTTTATATGTTAAGAAATTAACCATTTCTGTGCTGATCTTAATATAGAGAACAATGTCTTTCGTCTCTTTGTACATTTTTATGAAAAGCGCCTGCTTTTTGGTGTGAGCCACGTAGAATGCCGCGTATTACTCGGTCTTTAAGCAGATGTTGTGGTTGCCATCTTCAGAGTGAATGGGGAAAATTTTGGAACCATGTGTGGTACGCAGGAGGCGGTGAGTTAGATTTGATGGTGCTGATTGGTGGATTTCTGTCCAATGTAATGTGGCTCCATTCAACACAGCTTACACACGAACGCTGAAGTTACACGTTAAACACCCACCATGAAAATATAAAGACAAGGATAGTAGATATTTTTCACTGGTGATATAAAAAACCCAAGTGTGTTCATTGCAGAAATATCCACAGTTTTGGATTGAGACGGCTTTTTCACATAGAAAGGGTTAAAGAAAAAGTTGCATTTCGTAACGAGATATTTTGTGCAAGTTAGTTTTAAGAAGTATCGTTCTGAAATTTTATCCTCTGTTACAGGACCAGTCTGGAATATGCAAGCCTGCATTCCCAGGGAGGTACCCGGCCACCTTTGCCCGCATTACGCGCGCTGGGTTCTGCACTCTACGATAATCCAGGCACTCTACTTAACGGTCACCTTCGTCAGTCAATGCAGCAGCAACTACAGCAACACAGGCTCAATATCAACAATCTGAAGAGCACGCATCTCAGTAGCCACGAGCACTCGGACTCTGGCCTCAGTGCCGAGTCGCACGAATACAGCCCTTATAATAGTGAGAGGTCAGTCTTGGTTGTTGCTAAGCGTATTATGAATTCGTAAATTATTTTTCTTGTGTTTTATTAAATATTCATCGCACCGAAAAATACTTTAATAAAATTTATGGATCTATATTCTTTGTCATACACCAGTTTTTTAAGATGTGATTTGGGGTTCTCATGAGGATGGTTGTCTTCTGGAATGTGGCATCTTGTATTTTTATACGTATTGACTGACTGCAGTTACAGAGGGCTGTAGTTCAAACCGCTACTGCAGTGGTCCCCAACGCGGCGCCCGCCAAGGCTTTTTTTGGGTGCCCGCGTTGTCACGGAAAGAGGTTATACTGAATAATGAAGGCCGTTCCACCATGAACATTATAAAATCAAAGCGCAGATCTCGACTTACTGACGCCCATCTTGACGATTGTTTGCGAGCAGCAACATCATCCTACCCTCCCAGTTTTGAAAAACTGGCCGATGAAATGCAGCGCCGAACATCACACTAACTTCCCACTTGAGTAATAACAGTATCTGGTGTCGTGATCCAGAGGCTGTGTGTAACTTGTATTTGAGGGCAAATCCAGTGCTGGAAAGTATTTTACATGAAGACTGACACTTATATGTTAATCTTTCATCAGGAAGCGACAGAATTTTCCTGTCCTTGCATGCCATACTTTCCCAGGATAGCAGCCACTGCCGAAATATCTTTGCATTAATCCAATTATTGTGGCTAGCTTTATGTCTGTTACACGGTCTGGTTTTTCAGATTTCGCTACGACAAGTGAAAATAACTTTTATTTTCCTCCGTGAAGGTCAAGGCATGTTCCTGCATTGCTACTGTTTTGTAGTTCCTTCGGTTCACAAAAATACGTTAAGTACGTTAAATACATCGAAGCGTAAAAGTCAGTGTAACGAAATGCCACCAATTTTGTCGAAATTAAAATGGAGACATTTTTTTTTTTAATTTTTTCTGTACACGCTCAGATGGACGCTTTGCCGTCTTGCTGCCTCTTTGTCCTCTCCATCCTCTCTTCCCCTCTTACTTTACATAGCTCAAGCTTGGAGTTATTTTGCGTCCATGGTGTTCCACCATTTTTTATCCACAAGTTTCTTTGGTGACAGAAGAACATTTACTGGTGATTGTCAGTGAATCTGCGTTAAGTTTGCAGTCGGTCACTTGACTTTTAAACTCCATTCCAATTTTCCGAACAGTGTCAGCGGATTTCTAATGGAATGTGGAGCCCTCACAAGAATACTTCAAGCAGGAA